AATCGTGATCTTGGAAATCTGGAAGAGTATATTTTTTGAGAGAAAGATGAATGTGCATCGGCTATGCATTTTTAATCAAATAGGTGGCTCATATAAGGTTCAAATTCTTGAGGATCGCATAAACATCAATGGACCCAAATTGTGGGTTTATGTATGTGTGTATGCACAATATACTCTTTTGTATATTATTCCATGCCAAACTAAGCCCTTTCCTACCAAGAATTGGGTTGGCTACTCTATAGTAAACTCTACGGAGTATCATTATTATTGTTCAAACTTTCTTGGGCAGGAATATGAGACGCATCTAAAAGCAATGAGAAGGAATATCAAAACCATCTCGTGTTTGGAAGAAAATGTTAGGTGAGAAAGTTGCATGTTGTTCAGGTTACCAAATCTGTTCCCTCTCGCTTGCAAATACTAGAACTGTTTTATAATAATTCTTCTAGTTAAACTGTTTTATTGAATCAAAATATGATGGTTCTCACCTACTATTTCCTCCTGCACAGGGTCAGAGCAGATGAATTAATTAGATTAATAAGTTATTCACGATGGCCTCAATCCATAAGCATTGCAATGTTTGCAGAACAGGTAGATTGATTAACTCATGATTCGTTTTAATCATACCGGCCTATATAGTTACATAAGAGATGAATAGATATCGGTAGTTGTCCGGTCGTACCCAAACAATAATATTCCAGAGGGAAATTACTATAATCTTCTCAGGTTTGTAGTTAATGTTTGCTTAATGTCCTTAGCATAAACAAAATAAGCAAGGTGGCTTTTCAATTCTTTAAACTTTTGTCTATGCAATCCTTTTTCCCGTTCTTGATCAGTAAATTTACTACTCTATACTATTATAGTTTAAGAATGATGAACCTATGGTTAAGTTTCCCCTCCTTTCCCCTGTTGTATGTTTTTTCTGCTTGGGATTAGAGCATTCTTTTGGTGGTTTGTGTGTTTTTGATGCAAAGTGAAAGTTTACTCTGTTTGGAGAACATGCTTTCTAATCCTAGCAGACCCGGCCTCCAGCCAGCCATTTGGAGTGGGGATGAGTGGGGATGAGTGGGGATGTCCTGCCTTCTTTGGCAAGTTTCCAATTTTCCAAATGCCAACTCACTGCGGACTTTCCACCAATTAATATAAAAATCTGAATTTTTATATTTCAATATTTTTCTTATTTCGCCTCATATCATATTTTCACACCCACCACATTCAGAATTTTATACTTTATCATTTCATTTTTTTTGTTTAATTTAACAATTTTCATATACTGACAGTGGGTGCATGTTTGATAATGTTAAATTAGGTGGAAGTTGCCGTATTTTCTTAATTTTTGGCTGACATGGGCTAAACTTGGTTCATTTTAATATGTATTTCACTATCTCAATAGTTTAAAAAATACAACATGTTTAAATACAAACAAACATAATGCATGTCTATGCTAACTACAATGCGTCAATCTCATATGTCCTAGTTAGATTGAAATAATCTGTATTAATTATGCCCAAAATAGTACTCCATCTGTTCCTTTTTACTTGACCAATTTTAGATCATAATGTTTGAAAATTATTTTCAATTCACTTTATTTGAAATTTTTTGTAAAATTTAAAAAATGTAATTTATTTATTTTAAAAATTATATCAATATTTATACAAAAAACAAGAGATATGAATATATTATTTTATCAAGCGAGTAACAAAAATAGACAAAGGATAAATTTTGACGTATGAACAATGAATAGGTCAAGTAAAAATAAATGGAGGGAGTAGTTTCTCGGTAAAATATATATGAATAGCCTAGAACTCTACTAAAAAAAGATCTAACAATTTAATTTACTAAAAAATTACAATATTTTTCTACAAATTATAAATTCTTTACAAGACAATAGACATTCTTAAATATTTAAATTATTGCAAATTAACGCTTTAATGATTTGGATCAAAAGAAATCATTTTAAATAACAAGAATAATTGTAGATGTACTCCCACTGTCCCAAATTTATCTTCCCATGTGAAAATTACACGGTTTAATAAAAGTGAAATCATGCGGTTGAAGTTTATGCAGTGAAGAAACAAATAAAATTAACCACACAATTTTTTCCTTAAAGAGAATGAGAAGATCATTTTGGGACATCCAAAAAGGATTGTGGGAAGATCATATTGAGATGAAAAAAGTTTATAGATTCAAAAATATAAATATTCAAATATGTATTTTGAACATCAGATTTATCTTGACATTTTAAAACTTAATTTTTTTGAACCTTAGTTCTACAAATTAAAAGCTTGAAGTGTTGTCGGGCTAAGACCAACATGTTGCAATTGTATCTTGTCCATGCCAACCCTAGTCCTGTTTATGACACAACCCCGGCATGGCTTCAAAATGAGTTTTGGATTTGACACATATAGGATAGGGGACACACTATTGTAGTAATGTTTGTGCATCATTGAAGGAAAGCGTGCTAAGCTTCTACTTGCTTGCAATATGCAGATTATCTTCTCATTTGTGACGTGTTATGGAGGTTCTAATGGTCTTCATTACGCATATGGTCGTGCAATTGTTCTTGTAACATCTCAGGTAAACTCTTATATGTTCTTTTTCGTTTAGGCATCTATTGGACAATGAAATTGGTGTATGCTTTGAAAATCATGATATTGTTCAATAGTTAAGTTGTGGCACTAAAATTTAATGCCACTAAGAAAATGTGGGTTACCAAACCAAAAAAACTTGTTATGCTTGACATTAAGGTCTTGGGAGGTCGTATGCATGCAGACCTTACCTCTATCCCTAGGAGAAGATAAACTGTTCAAATGGGATGTTGTGCACGAAGATTCACTACTTTTTGGGTTTGGGCATGATGGGATAAAGCAAAATGGCTCTTAAAACTGTCTGCACTTCTTTTTCAATAGTGAAGTAGCAGCTAGTCAATGCAACTTTCGACGCTCATCATGGGTCATCCGGAAACAGCCGGTCTATGTTTTAAACATAAGGGTCAAAGTGCATACATCTCACCCCCCTTACCCCGTAACGGGCAGAAGCCAGTTAGGCACTGGGGTAATGTTGTTGTATTACTTGTATGGGATGTTGTGCACAAGGTAGTCAAACTCGAGACTCTATGTAGAATCAAAAGCTTCTTGTTTCTAAATTTACTCTTATATTTGCATATATGGCAGGTCCCAGTTGCTATGGATATAATCATTTCTGAACTGAACAAAGTTTGTATATATACTGTTCCAAAGTATATAGAGTACTCTACGGTAACCTATGCTTTTTTGACTCATTCATTTTTGGTTTGTTTGGAAACCCATAAAATGTTCTCTGCAAAATGACACTTTTCTGGAAATCAACAGTTTCACTTGCTGGTATTTGGCTGAAAGTTCAAAAACTATACCTTCATATTCGGTTCATTTCCAGCAAACTCAGATATATTAACATATTGTAATCATAAACAGAACAAAAGAATAGAAATCTAAAATGAACAGAAATCATGATCGGAATCTCTTCACATAGATTTTGAAGGATTTAACATTGATTGAGAGTATTGATAGATCTTTAGGGATATTTTGATTTTGAAGGTTTTTTTTCTATCAATTGGGAACTGGGAAGGGTTGACTAGATTTTTTAACAAAAAATCTAAAGCCGCAAGTCGTAACAAGGTGAACACATGTTCCAACCTAGATCAGAAATTGGAGAGATGTAGAATATGACAGAGTGGTGGTGTTGTGTTGAAGATGAAGTCAGGGAGAGCTGGTGCTGTTGATGGCAGAGATAGGTGGTGATGGGTTGTGATGAAGAGATGAAGAAGAGAGCGAGACAAGGTAGACTGCTGGAGAAGCTCAGACTGTTGATTAAAAAATGGTTTTCCTCAAAAAATAAACAGAAGACACTTTCCGTAGTGTGGAGGTCTTCTTTTTCAATTGACCAAACACTTATTTTCTTTAATGTTAGCATTAGGAATGACCCAAACACTGGAAAATCTGATTCCTGAAGCCATTTTAGGTGTTTCCAAGTGGGCCATTAGTATGTTAGCTTCCAGAGTGGTCTATTGTTTTCTGTTCTCTTTTTATTTTAACCATAACATGTCTTAGTTGCCACATTATTTACTTTTGCTATAACATTCATTACCTGTAACTTTTGCTTACGTGCACTTTTTGTGTCTACTTTCAGTCAGTCTTCAAGACCAAAGAAGCTTACTGTAGAGCTATTGGCTTTCAAGAAGATGGAAAGTTTGAATCTGATAATAGTTATTTAAGTCGATTACATGCCTACATGAAACTATATGGAGCTATTGTTCAGGTTTGCTGCTTCCATAGTGTCAGTTTGGATAGAGGATTTTGGAAAGTCAAGCCTGTAATCTTGATTCTTAATACTCCCTCCGTTTAAAAAAAGAGTTCTCGTTTCGAATAAAATGCAAAATCCCATCTATTTTAGAATAAATTTATTTACAAATTGGTATGAAAATAAAAAGTACAACTTACATATTCAAAAACTGCATAAAAAATTTTATAAAACAAGTGGTGACAAGAAAATTTCATCTTATCAAATGACCAGAGAAAAAGAACATGCAAACAAAAGTTATTGGAAGCCTGGAATAGTAAACAAGAATTGTTTTGTGAAATGGTGGTGGTACCGTAGTACGACTATATATTTAAGATTTTATTTTAAAAAGATGAAGGAATAACATAATAAACATTTATATAACATTTCAATCTACTTTCATTTGTTTTCAAAACATTCTACTTATTAAGCTATAAACTACGTACTATTAAGTCTTCAGTGTGAGGCACTACGCATGCGTTGGACAAATTTGGCAAACTGATTCCAAGTGATCTGCTCCAAAATCATGGGCACCATACATACATGCAAACCACAGTTTGACTAGGTTTTTAACTGAAACCTGTAATACTTTCAATGTGACACTTGACACCCTCCGAAGGCTTCCCCTACAAAACCCTTTTTTCCAAACTGACCCTTATATTTGCATTAGCTTTACAAATAGCCAGATTAGATGAAAGTCCTCATAAGTTTGTGTCTTGTAGACTGAAGTTGAAGGCTTCCAAAACTTGCACGGGCATCAAGAAGGCTGGGCATGGTTGGCCAGATTCTTAAATACAATCCCTGCAAACTTGTACACTGCTGCTGCCTTAATTGCCTTTCTTGAAGTAAGTGGACTACATAACACATTTCTTGTAATACCCGTTTAAAAACATATGTTTAAAAGGTGTCCTTCCATGCCTGCAGGCGGCTGGTTTTGTGCTATATAGAAAGTACAAGCGTCATTTTGAGAAGCTTTTATACATTATCGCCAGAGACTTCATGAAAGCATTGGACGGTAAACAGTCAAGCGGAGTGATCTCTGAGCTCTGTACTTACATAGAGTCAAAGAAATATCTGAGTGAGCCGAAAGGGTGGCGTCTAAGTGATCATTGCCAATCACAGGTTTCTTCTGTTTTTTAGATTTGGAGCAGCCACAGCTGTATGGTAGATGGTTATTTAGACATTCTTCAGACTCTACTTCAAGTTGGTATTCTTTCAAAGCACGCATCACATTTGAAGTTCCAAGATCTGTGTTTAATAGTTCAAGATTCATCAAGGCTCATGAGCAATTTTCTGAATTTTTGCAGATGTCTGTAATTTCTGTGTGTACAGATTCAGACCTGTTCTTTGTTGTATACATGCATAACAAAAAGTTGCACAATTCTTATTATTTTAATTAGATTCAATACAGATACTTCCGGATTTGTATTTCCTTTTTTTAGTATTTTAATTATTGAGTTCTTTAAATAGATATATCTATCTAATGCTTTGGTATCCAAAGATGGGTATACATTGTTGTCCGAAGAGGAGGGTTGCGTTTATTTCCTGTGGTTAGGAATGCCAGACCAACACGCTCTCCATATTGGTACTATGAATTCTGCCCTATTTGGCATTTGTCCCAATAGATCATTCGTTGCTTGGGTTTTTGTTGGGACTTTATTTCAATTGGTTGAACACATTTTCATTATTATTCTTAATGATTTTTAGCCTTGTGATTTAAACTTAATTCTTCAAGTATTGAGTTTTCAAGATAGTTCCTGAAATCATGTTTTGATGGATGTTGTATTATGTTTTGCCTCTTCTATCATACTGTGACGGAGAGAGTATATAATCTGACTTGTGCTATGCACTTTATACTAAAGAAAGCTCTTCAAATTGGAGTAAAGCATATGTCACATCTTCAAAATAGGAGTTCAAATTTAAACTATTCTGAATAGGAGTAATTCTGCACAAACCACACCACATTGTAGCCCCGTGCGATCGAAAATGTTGCCCGGCCCTTTCCCAATCTCATTCTTCTCCGGTCTCCTTTGTTCTAATCTCAATTGTTGATGCTACCATAGTACCATCTCTATGCGACAATGATTCCACTGCATTCTCCATCATCTCCCTTTCTCTCATACACACAATCTCCTTCCGCCCCTCTCCACCATTTCCATATTTCAGGATGCCTCCGTCCCCTGGGATAAGTTTTAATTCAATTTGATATTTAATTTGACATAAGTGGTTAAATTTAATTTTAAATCTAAAAATTTACTTAGGAAATTATTTTGTAAAATTGATGATAATTCTTTTAGCCTTGCGTGAGTTTGAAACTTTGGATTCAATTTTATATTCAATTTGACATAAGTTGTGACATTTGATTTTAAATCTGAATTTACTTCTTAAGAAATTATTTTGTATAACATATATTGAAACTAAATGATTATTGTATTGGAAAATAGAATTTCTTGATGTTTAACTTTTTTGAGATTATGCATTAACAAGTGTGTGATATGTAACATTATACATTGACATATTTGTCATTATACTTTGCCAAGTGTGGCACTATACATTGTCATATTTGAAATTATCTCTTTGTTTAACATTATGCAGTTGCATGTATGACTTTATAGAATGACATGATTGTCATTATGCGGTTACGTGTGGCGTTAATGTGGTCTTGTTTGGCACTGTATGGACATTTTACTATAGCAATTTAGGGAGTTTCTATTTATTGCTTAAGAATTTTGACATATATCTATAATGTGTTAATCAGGTCTCACATATTTATTTATTAAACATTTTGTCATTAAGGGTGGTCTTGTTTGACACTCTATGGGCCTGAGGCAACACTTACAGGTGAGGTTTATCAAGTTTCTTTTTTCCTCCTAAGAATGTGAAATCAAACTATTTGAGTTGTGGATTAGGATACACATATAAATATTCAGGAGCAAGGTAGAAATAGCCGTGTTTGTCTGTGGTACTGAGTTTTGGGTGTGATTTTGTTGTCGTCCCTTGACGATAGAGTTAAAAGAATTGTTTATTGACAATATTTTAACTTTGGATAAAAAAAAGATATTGGATTATATCAAAATAGTGCATAAAATTTCTATTGTGTTTTACTTTATATGAAGTTTCCGGCAGTATATGCATATAAGCCCTTATGCTCTAATGAAAGTAACCTACGGAGTATTAGTTTTTAGGAGGATAGGTTGCTCACATCTTGAAGTAAGAAGACCCATAAAATGTAAGCAATATTTCAACAAAATGTAAGCATTATTCCCCTCGGTATAGTTCATACTCCCTCTGTCTCAATAAAATGTAAGCAATATTTCAAACGATGTATAAAATATCGTCTCTTTTGAATTTAATTTATTTACAAATTAGTAGAGAAATATAAAGTAAAAAATTACAGTGTTCAAAAAAGATCAAAAGTTCTACAAAACAAAATATAACAAGAATATTTTATTTTATCAAATGATCAACCAAAACGAGTAAAAAAATAAAAATTATCGAGATGACGAAATAGTAATTTTTACTTACATTTTGGGACGGAGAGAGTATTTTAGTGCTAAAAACATGAAAGCCTAAATTCAATTCTTTTTCATGATGTTTTATGTAAAATAAGAAAGTACTCCGTAATTAACTTTCACAAATTGTCTTTTACCCATATTACCATATATATCCTCTTCGTCTTCCCATCTGTTATCGAACCCACCTTTGCCTCTTTTCTTCTTCTCAAACATGCCCCATCCCTGCTTGATTTTGCCTCAAATCAAGGTTTTTGTTACGGGTGTTAGCCCATGGGCCACTCCACGGCCCATTTATACTAGTTATTATTTTCTTATTTCTTGTTTATGTATAATCACTCAATATGAGACCCGATATATGTGTTGATGGAGGATTTGGAGATTAAATAGAAAAGTTATTACCTAATCTATTCTCTTTTAGCTCTCTCTCTCTAATTATTGTAACAGCCTCGAGACCCTCTTCTCAATCCGAGAGGTCTCCTCGCCTGCAACATTGGTATCAAAGCTCTGATCTTGGATCGGAGGCCTGGCGTTGATGGCAACACTGGATGAAGCGCTCAAAGCTTTGATCGATCAGGAGAAGCTGTTCTCGCGCCAGATGGAGGATCAAAATAGGCGGATTGATGATCAACAACAGATGTTCAGTCAGATGATGGAGCAAATTAAATCGATCACAAGTAGAGTGTCATTGCACCCAGAAAGCGATCTGGATCACATGAGAAGGAGGGACACTTCAACTCACAGATAGCTCCACTTTAATCCCAAGGTAGAATTTCCCTAATTTGACGGATCTAACGTGAGAACTTAGATTAAGAAATGTGTGAAATACTTTATGTTGTGCCAAATTCCGGATGAGAAGAAGGTAGATCTAGCCTCCCTATATATGATTGGAAAAGCTGAAGTATGGTATCATAGTTATACAATAGGGAGGGCCAATATTGCTTGGGAAGACTTTGTGGTAGATGTTAGCACCAGGTTCAAAGATGAATTGGGGTCGAAAATAGTGGAGGAATTCAATAAGTTACAGCAGATGGGAAATCTAGAGGATTATATAGACAGATTTGAGGAGTTGAGGGCTTGTTTATTGCAAAAAAATCCTCTGCTGCTAGGTGATCATTTTTTGGACAGCTTTATAGGGGGACTCAAACCTCACCTTAAGGCATTTGCAAGAGCTCTCAAACCTAGGACGTTGGACGAAGCTATTGATTATGGTAGGTGTCAGGAGGAGACGGTGTCTGCCATTAAAGGACAAGAAAAGGGCATCAAATCTAAGTTTACTAAGAAGGGCATTCTACCAACACCTGTAGCCAAACCGGTGAGTTCTGTTCCTATAGCAACCCAACCTAAGTTCATTCTCGCTGCAATCAGGGCTGAAAAGATAGCCAAAGGACTCTGTTATTATTGTGACAAGCCCTTTGAAAAGGGGCATAAATGTTCTGGCAGGGGAACACAACTGTTTCTTGTAGAGGTGCCTGTAGATTTAGAGATAGAGGAGTTGGATTCTCAAGACTCAGCATACCAAGTGGAAAGCGACAACCCCTTGATCTCAGTAAATGCCATCAGTGGCAATCAAGGGTTCCAAACCATGAGGGTGACAGGGTATTATGGACTGAAGCCTTTGCATATCCTCATAGACTCGGGCAGTACTCACAACTTCTTGGACATCTCCTTAGCCAAGAAGTTGGGATGTACGATTGATTCCATTGCAGCCAAATCAGTGATAGTTGCAGATGGGAACCAACTTCAGTGCAAGTTTATGTGCCTTGGGTTTGAATGGAGACTTCAGAGAACCACCTACCAGTCTGACATGTTGTTGATTCCACTAGGGGGATGTGAGATGGTGTTGGGCGTGCAGTGGCTAAGTATGTTGGGTCCAGTGAAGTGGGATTTTAGTAAATTAGAGATGGATTTTTCTTATAAAGGACACAGACAGGTTCTAAGGGGCATGAAACATCAGGTAGCTGAAGCCAGACCTAACAACTTAACCAAGATTCTAAACAATTCTAGTCAGTTATGCTTGTTGCACATCTACACTTCATGTGAGGATAATACTAGTAAACAACAAGAGAACACTTCAGAGGGAACTCCTATTCTCATGCAAGAGCTATTGGAAGAGTACGAGGACCTGTTCCAAGAACCCCGAGGACTACCACCTTACAGAGGAGTTTTCGACCACACTATCCCACTACAACCTAATGCCAGCCCAGTGAATATTAGACCTTATAGATACCATGTCAGAAACAAAGATGTGATTGAGCAGCTGGTCATTGAGATGAAAAATAGTGGAATAGTGCGAGATAGTGGAAGCCCCTATGCTTCTCCGGTAGTATTAGTTGGAAAAAAAGATGGGAGTTGGAGACTTTGTGTGGACTGTAGAGAACTGAACAAGCAGACAGTTAAGCACAAGTTTCCTATACCAGTGGTGGATGAGGTCATCGATGAATTGGCTGGAGCCACTATGTTTAGCAAAATTGACTTGAGGGCTGGGTATCATCAGATAAGAGTAGCTGTTACAGATATCTATAAAACTGCTTTCAAGACTCACAGTGGCCATTATGAATTCTTGGTTATGCCATTTGGCCTAACCAATGCCCCTGCTACTTTCCAAGGCCTAATGAACCATGTCTTCAGAAACCAACTCAGGAAATCGGTATTAGTGTTCTTTGATGACATCTTCATTTACAGCCCTACATTGGCACTGCATTACACACACCTGAGAGGAGTATTCAATACTATGATGGAAAATGAGTTGTTGGCAAAACGAAGTAAGTGCTCCTTTGGAGTATCAAGAGTAGAGTACTTGGGCCATTACATTTCCGGGCAGGGAGTTTCCACTGATCCCAGCAAGATAGAGGCCATAAAAAATTGGCCTAGCCCCACCAACCAGAAGGAATTGAAGAGTTTCTTAGGTCTTGCTGGGTATTATAGAAAATTTATCAAGGGCTATGCAAGTATAAGTAAAGCTCTCACTAATTTGTTGAAGAAAGGAAATTACCATTAGCCTGAAGAAGCCAACTTAGCTTTCCAAAATTTGAAGGAAGCCTTGTGTAGTGCTCCTGTGTTGGCACTTCCTGATTTTTCCAAGCAGTTTGTGGTTGAGACTGATGCATCCCAAGGAGGAATTGGAGCTGTTCTAATGCAGGATCAACATTTCATAGCATACATCAGCAAATCATTAGGGCCTAGGTGGCAAGCCTTATCTGTGTATGAGAAAGAACTACTGGCAGTAGTTTTTGCTGTGCAAAAATGGGAACAATATCTGGTTTATCAACCTTTTACTATTAAGATTGATCAAAAAAGTCTTAAGTGGCTACTTGAAAGTAAAATTTCTACACCCTTCCAACAATTCTGGATGTCCAAATTGATGGGGTACACTTATGACATTCAATATAAACAAGGGAAAGAAAATTTAGCTGCAGATAGCATTTCTCGACACACTGGGGCAGAAATCCTATGCTTGGCACTCTCTACCATTGATTCTTCATTGCTCGAAGACATTAAAGGAAGTTGGCAGAATGACTCCACACTTCAAGGATTTATACAAAACTTACAGCAAAACCTACCAGTACACCATTATACTTGGAAAAATGACCAGCTGAGGAGGAAAGGCAAATAGGTCATAGGGGCTAGTGATACACTCAAAGCTAAGTTACTTCAATGGGGACATTCCTCACCGGTAGTAGGACACTCCGGTAGGGAAGCAACATTGAGAAGACTTAAATCCTTGTTCTACTGGAAGGGCATGAACAAAGATGTTTCCCACTTTGTGAGAAGGTGTCTCACATTCCAGGCTTGCAAATATGATAATGCTGCCTATCCAGGCCTCCTTCAGCCCCTACAGCTCCCAACAGAGGTTTGGAAGGATATTTCCATGGATTTTATAGAAGGGCTTCCTAGATCAATGGGTAAGGATGTTATATTTGTGGTGGTAGATAGAATGAGTATGCCCATTTTTTGTTGCTCTCCCACCCCTATACAGCTCTAGAAGTGGCTCAATGCTACCTGGATAATGTGTTTAAATTGCATGGGATGCCAAGCACTATAGTCAGTGATAGAGATACTGTGTTTTTAAGTCAATTTTGGCAGGCCCTATTTTCCGTTCATGGAGTTGAGTTCTTGATGTCTTCTGCCTATCATCCACAAACAGACGGGCAGACCGAAGTGGTGAACAGATGCTTGGAGACTTACTTGAGGTGCATGAGCTCCCAGAATCCTGAAGAGTGGTGTAAATGGATTCCCCTCGCTGAATGGTGGTACAATACGACCTACCACTCTTCTATCCACATGACACCATATGAAGCAGTATACTGTCAGCCTCCCCCTATCCATTTACCCTACTTGCCTGGAGAGACTACAGTTGAGGTAGTGGACAGGTCCTTTCAAAAACGGGAGGGGATGATCAAACAATTGAAGCATCAGCTGCAAAGGGCTCAAAACAGAATGCAGCAAATGGCCAATCAGCATAAGTCAGAGAGGGAGTTTGATGTAGGTGATTGGGTATGGTTAAAATTGCGCCTTACTGACAAATAAGTGTGCAGCCGAGACATAATCAGAAGTTGGGACCTAAGTATGTTGGCCCCTTTCCGGTAGTATCAAAGGTGGGCAAGGTAGCCTATAAGCTTCAGTTACCCCCGCATGTTAAGGTTCATGCAGTTTTTCATGTGTCCCAACTTAAGAGGTTTAGGGGGGAGCTACCTGCTGAGCCACACATTCCTTACTGGTTCCAGGGCACATATAGTCGAAGTTATCCTTTTCCTGAAGCTATTCTCTCTAGAAGGATCCAGAAAAAAGCAAACAAGGCTGGAGTGCAATTTTTGGTGAAGTGGCTGGGGGTACCAGAGGAGGAAGCTACATGGGAATGGTCTGAATCCTTCATGCAACGCTTTCCCGATTTCCAGCTTTGAGGACAAAGCTAAAGCTAAGGAGGGAGGAATGTTACGGGTGTTAGCCCATGGGCCACTCCACGGCCCATTTGCACTAGTTATTGTTTTCTTATTTCTTGTTTATGTATAATCACTCAATATGAGACCTGATATATGTTGATGGAGGATTTGGAGATTAAATAGAAAAGTTATTACCTAATCTATTCTCTTTTAGCTCTCTCTCTCTCTCTCTCTCTCTCTCTCTCTCTAATTGTTGTAACAGCCTCGAGACCCTCTTCTCAATTCGAGAGGTTTCCTCGCCTGCAACAGTTTTCAACATAGAGAGATGTCTGGGCAAGTCCGAATAACCTAATTGGGCAAACCCAACTTGATTCATGAACAAAAAAATATCTGATTCATGAACAAAATAATCTGATTCATTTATTGAAAAAAGTGGAAAACCTAATAAATATACGGAGTATAAAATTTTAAAAACAAAGATTAACCGCTAAACAAGATTTGAGTGTCATTTTTGATCATTTTCAAAAATTCAGTGACATTAAAAAAATCATGGTAAATAAGAGAATATAAAGAAAATAACAAAATAAGAATTTCATGTTTCTATTCTCAAAATAAGATTTTGTACTTTGATAATGACTGTGTTTAAAAAATAATTTTTTGTGGATTTTGGCTAATCGAACAACCGAAGCCATTGTTTGGCAAATAACTTTTTCTCTTGGCGGTTTGATATGAAAAGCCAAAATTTTAAAAGTTAAGGAGAGTAACTATTAAACTTTTGGATGTTTGAAAAATTAATATTGTTTTATCATTTGTATTGAAAAGATATTCAATAATATATGTAAAAATAAATAAAAGATAAAGGTTAGAAATTTTAAAATTAAAATTTTAAGTTTTAAAATTTAAAAGTTAAATAAGTGAATTGAGAAAATCAATAGTAAAAATCAATAAAAAGTTGTATATTAGGAGTAATAATTTCTACTTACATTTTGGTCTAATCAATTTGGTCATGTCTGATATGATTATAATAAGAATAAGCAGAAAAAATAAGTTGAACAAAATGCTACCTAAAAAAGATAACTTCAAGCAAAGCTAGATATACACAGAAGAAAGTTTTGAAATGCCTCTTTTTACATTGAGTTCTTTTATATAACACTATATGTTACAGACATCATGGAGGAAATAATCATAAATAATTGGTATGGGATAATAAAATATAATGAGGTAGCAACTACCTAAGATACAAAATCTTTGAACTCAGCTACAAATTAATGATTGATCAAACATCCTATACATCATCTGACGTTCTTGAACTAGTAGTAAGTATAGAGCAAGCTCGGGTAAACAAGAGCTTGTAAAGGTTCTCAGCTGTGGGGCGGTCGCACCGACTCTTTTCTGTACACCAATGATATACAGAAACAAGAAATTTTAAAAGGGCTGACTCGGTGTCCAGCTCAGTCCCACAGTCGGAGCCTGCTAAATCCTCTATCTTTTCTTTGGATTCCGCCATTGCGTCCAACTCTTTACTTAGTTTTGGTCGTTCGCCTATCTGGTTTTCAAAAAAAAAATGCATTTGCATGTCATTGCAAATAATAAAAACAGTGATGTCACATTTGAAGAATCAGAACGGTTCTAGAGCCACTGGCTCTGGGTGAAACTGCGGTGCCATTGCCTTTTTGGGCGCCTATGGCGCTCCGTTTGAAAAATTGATAGTTCCGACCCCCTAACCCCAGTAACCCCCACCCCGGCCCAACCCGAAGGCAAATTATATGATACAGCCGAATGTTCCTTCCTCTTGGCACATCATGCAAAACTTGTAATTAAAAAAATATTTTAGAATGAACACTACAGTTGAAAATGAATATTCTGTTGATTCAAAATGAACATTTGCCAGGTGTACCGGCTTTACGTACATCNCCCCCCCCCCCCCCAAACCCCATCAATTTCATCCCCAAATTTAGTTGACTTCGGCGTAAATTTGTTTAACCCAAAAGTCAACTACATTCAACTAAATTCGGGGATGAAATTGAAGTGGTTGGGAGGTGAGTTCGGGTCGAGCTGGGGTGGGGGTTTCACTGGGAGGGTTAGGGGGTAGGAACCACCGATTTAGGGAACAACGCACCATAGGTATTGCAATTAGAACCGGTGATTGGTGTCATCCACAACCACTGAAAATGAGTGGCTCTAGAACCCCTCCGTTGAAAAACATACAGAAGTATACCTGAAGAGAAGTCTGAATATCCAATTCAGGCAATCCGGCATATGGAACTTGAAGTGTCAATAGTTCCAAGAGGAGGCAACCGAATGACCAGATATCTGCTTCCTACAAAAGCAACAAGAAAGCAGATTATAAGAGTGTTTTTGAACTCTATACGAACTGCTTATGGCTTTTGAGAAATGCTTAAACATAAAAGAAACAAGAGCAAATTATACTTAAAACAAACACTACTCGCTTTTACTTTTATTTAAAGAATCACTTACTCCCTCCATTTCATATTAATCGTGTAGTTGTTAATGGCGAGCGCCATTTGCTCTTATGGCGCCTAAGGCACAGTGGCAAGGTCTTTCCGCCATACCTAGCTAGGGCGAGGCATTTTACGTGAGGCGCGCCCTGGCGGCCGCCATTCACAACTGGATTTGTGGCGAGAAGCGGCGCCATCCTTGTTCTGCGTTTGGAGTGACGCAAAAGGTGAGCAGATCGACTGGGATCCTCGGCAGAAGCTTAGGAAATATTTGTGGGATCCTCGCTAGATCTAGGCGATCCGATCTTTGGAAATATTCAGAGGGTTGGATCCGACAGCAAATTCTGGGCATTTCTTTTTTCTTTTTCTTTTTTTATTTCTTCTTTTTTCTTTTGTTTCCTGTTTTTTTTATTTACTTAAGATTCCGTAACTAGTAGTCAATTACTGCCCTAGATCCTACCACACACACATGTACTCCGTATATAACTTACAGTAGTAAACTATGTTATTGTGTATTTTATATATATATATATATACACACACACACATACACATATATATGTTCGCCATTTGACCGCCCGCCTCTCGCCATAAAAAAGGTCTTCTCCCCTGCCCCTCGCCACTAACTATGATTAACGGACCATTATGACTTTTTAGATACATTGAAAATTAAATGAATGTAGACATAACGTATGTCTTAATTCATTCATTTTTCAACGCATCTAAAAAGACATAATAACACTCCCTACAAAACTCACTCATAAAGATTAGTATGAATCATAAATTAACTGCAAACCTTACCAATCCATACATGTTGGGCTCGTGCATTGCTCGAAACACCTCAGGAGACATCCATCGAGGTGTTCCAACACAAACATCAGGTGGAGGAATTCCAGTGTGTGCAATGCAGCAAGTGTGCGAGTAAGAGTGAAGCGGGATTGCTCTATCAAAGTCACATAGCTTTACTGTAGGTGTACCATCATCTCTCTTCTTGTCCAAATCAATCAAAACATTTTCCGTTTTTATGTCGCGGTGTATAATATGTCTGGAATGCAGCTCTCTCAATGCAGATGCCACATCTCTGGCAATGAAAAGTGCCAGTTCCAGTGGTAGGCGATTCTCACCAGCCCCAGAAATTTTCTCTAAATAGCTCTGAAATATGTATGGTGGACATAAAGGGAAATGAGAACATAGATAAAAAGTATGTAAGAGGGCATAAAATTTGCATGAGAGGATATCACCTTTAATGAGCCTCCTTTAACATGTTCCATCAAAATGGCAGACCGCAAAAGACGGCAATTAATATTTCCATCTTCAGACAAATTCCACTTTGAAGAAATCTGATGACCATAAATCTCTACAATGCAGGGATGCTTCAGGACACCCAACATCCTGACTTCCCCTACACAACCAAACTCAAAATTCTGAATTTCATCAATGGATGATCCATGTACTTCCATAGTCCGCACCTGCAAAAAAATTGAAAAAAGGTTGCAAATAAATCCAATTCTCTCTGTGAATGGATTAATCAATTGGCTACGTGTGACAATAATGCGACCCTTCAAACATGCTAAATGAGCTGCTACGACTTCCAGCACAGCAAAAATCATTATTTGCTTAATGGAAGGACAAATAATGAAGAACCTCAAAGTCAGCAACTATGACATTATTATTCCTTCAACTACATATATACCCAGCTGGTATTATCGTCACAAATCGTGCCCCACCTCAAAAGCATAGGCTAATAAATGAGCCATTGACGTTAACATCGTACACTAGCACACTAGAGAAGTGCAAAAGAAACAGAATATCTGAATATAGTTTTAAAAAAACATCCCAAAACTACGGAAATGATAAGATCGTAGACAAAACCTTCGCCAAAGACTCTTGTGATCCCAGTTTACATTGGACAAGGGTTGTAGAAGCAACTTTCCCAATTTCATCCGAAGCAGATAGAGAAGGAAATGATCCTGGCAGAGAATGGGCAACAGGTTTAAGAGGAGAATTCACCCGGCTCAATGGAACATACCTAGAAATAAGTAATGCCAGTCAGAAACGATAACTCTTAACTCTCGTATATGCAATACACATATAGGGAAAAAGAACATACAGAAATCAGCAACACAATAATATCTTAAGGCTTGAAATAGCTGTAAAAGTCAATAATGGATCCCAGCGAATAATGGGCATACAAAGATTTACATCCAATACATTCTGTATCAAAAACTCACCTATGAAATATTATGAGAATATACTGTAACAACAAAGATCTTTCAACAGAATGATTTGTACCAAGCAGTAAAGACTCAGAAAAACCAATAAAAGTTCACATCAAACAAAATCTACTCAATGACTATATACATCTTGCTTTGTGTGCTGTCATACAGATATTTCCTCTTTGGGATGCAATGACAGGACTCTAACTAGTTGAACTACTAGATATAAATAGCATGATATGCCGTCTAGGCTATCACTACTAGGGTTAGGGATATCCTTAGCTGTTTGTTTTAACAAAGGCAAGTTGTAATCATTAAGCAAGCTCCCAAACTGGGAGAAACAAGTACAACCAAAAGCCGCTAATTAGCAAGAGCCATCAAGGGTTACTCCTGTATGATGCCAAAGAAATACATTGAATTCCTTCTACTTTTTTCCCTGGGTTCCCATTCTACTACAAGGAGAGAGGTATCTAAACTTGTGAATAACACATTCTTGAATCTTGAATATTACTCCATGCT